ATCGTGACCCCGTCGGGCTGCGGGGAGCAGAACATGATCGCCCTGACCCCCACGGTCATCGCCGTCCACTACCTGGACAACACCCAGCAGTGGGAGAACTTCGGCATCGACCGCCGGGCGGGGGCCATCGAGCTGATCAAGAAAGGTGGGAACAGCCCCAAAAGGGCTGGGAGTGTCCCCAAAAGGGCTGGGAGTGTCCCTCGGTGTCCTGTCTCGTGTCCCTGCCATCCGAGGTGGCACAGAAGGTTGCCCCTCTGGAGGAGACCTGGGTTGGGTGAGGCCAGTTTGGGGTTTCCAGTTACTGGTTTGAACTGGGATGGGCTCCAGAGTGGGTTGGTGGCCTGAGGGTTCCTCAGCTTGGCTGAGCGCTCCTTGTGCTGGCCGATGGCTGGAGGACGTGGGTGGCCGGAGCCACCGCTGGCCACCGCTGGCGTTGACCGGCCACCATCTCCTCACAGGTTACACCCAGCAGTTGGCTTTCCGCAAGCCCGACAGCTCCTACGCCGCCTTCATCAACCGCCCCTCCAGCACCTGGTGAGGGTCCTGCCGCCACCACCGCCACCACCCGGCCCGGCTGGCAGGGCCGGCTGTGACCCCCGGCTGTCCCCACCCCCAGGCTGACCGCCTACGTGGTCAAGGTGTTCGCCATGGCCAGGAGGCTGACGGACATCGAGCACGATGAGATCTGCGGCCCCGTCAAGTGGCTCATCCTCAACAAGCAGAAACCGGACGGGGTCTTCCAGGAGGACGCGCCCGTCATCCACAAGGAGATGGTGGTAGGGGGACACCTCAGCCCTGTCACTGCTGGGGACGGGGGGCACCTCGGGTGCAGGTTTTGGGGTGAAGGTCTGGTTCTTTGGGCCTTCCTTGGGTGTTCCTTGGGTGAAGGTCAGGTGAAGGTCAGGAATTCTTCAGATTTCCCCTGGATGACATTTGAGTGTCCCCTGGGTGACGTTTGAGTGTCCCCTGGGTGACGTTTGAGTGTCCCCTGGGTGACGTTTGAGTGTCCCCTGGGTGACGTTTGAGTGTCCCCTGGGTGACGTTTGAGTGTCCCCTGGGTGACGTTTGAGTGTCCCCTGGGTGACGTTTGAGTGTCCCCTGGGTGACGTTTGAGTGTCCCCTGGGTGACGTTTGAGTGTCCCCTGGGTGACGTTTGAGTGTCCCCTGGGTGACGTTTGAGTGTCCCCTGGGTGACGTTTGAGTGTCCCCTGGGTGTCCCTCAGAGCGGTCAGGGACGGGTGTTTGGAACGAGCTGCTGGGCGCTGGGAAAACCCCGATCCTGAGGTTTTTTCCCTCGTTTTTATCCCTCAGGGAGGTTACCAAGGCGCCGAGCCCGAGGTGTCCCTCACCGCCTTCGTCCTCATCGCCCTCAAGGAGGCACAGGACACCTGCAAGGACCACGTCAACGTGAGTGGCCCCACGTGGGGACAGGGACGTTCCTGAGGTGCCAGACCCTTGTGGAAGCCACCTGAGATCCCGAATTTTCCATCCAGAACTTGGACGACAGCATCAACAAAGCTGCCAACTTCCTGGCCCGGCGCTACGAGCAGCTGGCCCGGCCTTACACGGTGGCCCTGGCGTCCTACGCGCTGGCCCTGGCCGGGAAGCTCAAGAGCGAGAAGGTCCTCATGAAGTTCTCCAAAGGTGACCCCTCAAGATGAAATTGGGGTGAAAGGAGGTGGTTTGGGGTCTTTGTGAGGTTCTCCAAAGGTGACACCAAACCTGGGGTGGAAATTGGGGCGGGGGGAGGTAGCTTCACCCGGGGGATCCAATTTGAGGTGAAAAGAGGCAGCTTTGGGTAATCATGAGGTTCTTCAAAGCTGGTTGTGGCTCCTCCTGAGGTTCTCAAAGGTGACACCTCACCTTGGGGTCAGAGGAGATGGTTTTGGGTTCTCACGAGGTTCTCCACAAGTGGTTTTGGACCCTCCTGAGATGGCGCCTCACCTGGGGCTGTAATTTGGGGCCAGGGCGAGGTGGCCACGGGGTCCCCGGCGGCTGAGGGTGTCCCCGATGTCCCCACAGGTGGGGCCAGCTGGGAGGAGCGCAACGCGCGCACCTACAACATCGAGGGCACGTCCTACGCGCTGCTGGCCCTGGTGGAGATGAGGAAGTCGGAGCTGGCGGGGCCGGTGGTCCGGTGGCTCGCCCAGCAGAACTACTACGGAGGGGGCTACGGCTCCACCCAGGTGGGACATGGGACACCCCCAGCCACCCCTGGGGACATCTCAGGTGTCCTGGTGGCGCTGGGTGTGACAGGGATGGGGGTTGTCCTCTTGGGGACGTCTTCGGTGGCACAGGAGGCCAAAGGTCACTCAGAAGCCTTTGGGGGCGATGTCCCCAAGCCCTGGTGACCCCGATGTCCCCTCAGGCCACCATCCTGGTGTTCCAAGCGCTGGCCCAGTACCAGGTGGCCACGGAGGCCCAGCAGCAGCTGGAGATGGACGTGTCGGTGCTGCTGCCGCGCCGCGCCAACCCCGTCAAGTACCGCATCGAGAACCGCAACGCGCTGGTGGCACGCTCCACCGAGGTACCTGTCCCTGTCACTGTCACCTGTCCCTGTCACCTGTCACTGTCCCTGTCACCTGTCACTGTCACCTGTTCCTGTCACCTGTCCCTGTCCCTGTCACCTCTGGGCCTCTTCGTGTTCCAGCACCATCCTGTCCCCTCTCCATGGCCTTGGTTGTCCTTGTCCCCTCCGTGTCCCCTCCGTGTCCCGTCACCTCCGTGTCCTCCCAAGGCTTGGGATGTCCCAGGCTGACCTTGTCCCCTCCCTGGAATGTCCTGCCATGTCCCTGTCACCTCCCTGCCCTGATCTCCGTGTCCCCTCCGTGTCCTGCCACGTCCCTGTCCCCTCAGACCAAGCTGAACGAGGAGTTCACGGTGAAGGCCGAGGGCGTGGGCAAGGGGACGATGACAGTGGTGACCGTGTACCACGCCAAGGTCCCCGAGAAGGACAACAAATGTGACAGCTTCGACCTGAGCGTGGACGTGGAGGACGTGGACACGGGTGAGTCCCCAGCTGTCCCCTCCCTGTCCTCGCTGTGTCCCCCGTGGGTGCCCCATGTCCCCTTCGATGTCCCCTCCTTGTCCCCACCCAGGCAAGGAAGAGGAGGAGATCATCAGGTCTGTCAAGATCACCATCTGCACCAGGTGGGGACACTGGGGACGCTGGGGACAGCAGGGACACGGAGGGGACACTGGGGACAGGGAGGGGACACTGGGGACAGCAGGGACACGGCGGGGACACCAGGGACAGGGAGGGGACACTGGGGACAAAGAGCGCTCAGCCCCACCTTGTCCCCTGGGTGGACAACGGGGACATCGGGGAGGGGGACGCTTGGGGACACTGCAGGGGTTGGGGACAGGTGGGGGTGGCCTCAGCCCTGTCCCCACAGGTACCTGGACACCGTGGATGCCACCATGTCCATCCTGGACGTGTCCATGCTCACGGGCTTCTCGCCGGACGTCCAGGACCTGAGGAGGGTCAGTGTGGGGACACGGGGACACCAGGGGGGACCTGGGGACACCCAGGGGGGACCTGGGGACACCCAGGGGGACATGGGGACACCCAGGGGCACCTGGGTGAGACAGGGGACCCCACGTCTTCGTGCCACCGTGCGCCACCCTGTCCCCACATGGCCACACGTGCACCCCCGTGTCCCCAAATGCCCGCGTGTCCCCCGTGCCCCGGTGTCACGCTGTCCCCGTGTCCCCGCTGTCCCCAGCTGTCCGAGGGCGTGGACAGGTACATCTCCAAGTTCGAGCTGGACCAGGACAAAGAGCGGAGCAACGTCGTCATTTACCTGGACAAGGTGGGGACACTGGGGACACTGGGGTGGGGATGGGGACAGGGACAAGGTGGGACAGGGACAGGATGGGGACACACGTCACAGGGTCCGAGATGGAGTTGGGGACGTGCAGGGACACGAGGAGGACAGGGCTGTGACAGGGACACAGCTGAGGTTGGGGACGTTGCTGGGGACAGGGGTGGTGACAGAAACAGTCTGGAGGTGGTGACAAGGAGGTGGCTCCAGGTGGGGACAGCAGGGGGACACTGCTGGGGACAGGACCGGGCGGGCTGGGGAGGTGGCTCACAGCCTGAGTGCCACCCCCATGTCCCTGTCCCCTGTCCCCAGGTGTCCCACAAGGCCCAGGAGTGTTTCGCCTTCAAGGCCCACCAGAGGTTCCAGGTGGGGCTGATCCAGCCCGCGGCCGTCAGCGTCTACAGCTACTACAGGATCGGTGTGTCCCTGTCCCCGGTGTCACCTCTGTCACCTGGGTCACCTGGGCCACCCAGGTCACCTGGGTCACCTGTGTCACCTGTGTCACCTGTGTCACCTGTGTCACCCTGAGTCCTGCACTGTCCCACCAGCCCGATGTCACCACACTGTCCCCGTCCCTCCTGGTGTCCCCATGTCCCCCCTGGCTGCTGTCCCCGTGTCCCCTGCTGTCCCCATGTCCCCTGATGTCCCCGTGTCCCCTGATGTCCCCGTGTCCCCTGCTGTCCCCTGCTGTCCCCGTGTCCCCTGATGTCCCCTGCTGTCCTCTGCTGTCCCCTGATGTCCCCGTGTCCCCACAGACGATCGCTGCACCCGGTTCTACCACCCGGACAAGGAGGGAGGGAAACTGAGCAAGATCTGCCAGGGGGAAGTTTGTCGCTGTGCCGAAGGTGACATTGGGGACATGGGGACACACATGGGGACGTGGGGACATGGGGACACGGTGGCGGGACAGGCAGGCAGCTCTGGCAAGGTGGGACATGGTGGGACACGTCACTGATGAGCTGTCACATGTCACCGTGACGGGGACACACCCCTGCCACAGCTGACCTTGTCATGACTGTGTCCCCATGATGTCCCCGTGATGTCCCCGTGATGTCCCCTGTCCCCACAGACAGCTGCTTCAAGCGCCACGAGGAGCCCGAGGCCATCACCGTCAACCAACGCATCGAGCGCGCCTGCGAGCCCGGGGTGGACTTCGGTGGGACACTGGGGACACTGGGGACACTGGGGACAATGGGGACAGTGGGGACACTGGGGACAGTGGGGACACTGGGGACAGTGGGGACAATGGGGACAATGGGGACAGTGGGGACAGTGGGGACAGTGGGGACAGTGGGGACGTTGGGCGGTAAGGGTGGAGTTGGTGGCAGGTGGAGTTGGGGACACTGGGGACACGGAAGGGGCGGGGAGGGGCACAGAGGGGACACAGAAGTGCCACCGTGGCGGGGGTGGTGGCACTGTCCCCGTGTCCCCTGGCAGTGTACAAGGTGAAGCTGCTGGCCCGCAAGGAGACCCCGTCCCACGACAATTACGTCATGAAGGTCCTGTCGGTCATCAAGATGGGTACGGCCACCATGGGGGGACACGGCCACCACGGGGGGACACGGCCACCACGGGGCAGGGACAGGGACACCACGGGGGGACAGGGACACCTTGGGGGGACAGGGACACCACGGGGGGATAGGGACACCACGGGGGGATAGGGACACCACGGGGGGACACAGCCACCACAGGATGGACGAGGCCACCTTGGGGAGGGCCATGGTGGCAGTCACCTGCACCTGGGGACACTCAAGTGGGCTGGTTGGGGACAGCCAGGTGGGGTCGGTGTCACCCCGGTGTGTTGGGGACCCCCTGGCGAAGCTGGAGGGACCCGGTGCCACCAGGAGGGTGGTGCCACCACAGCTGCCCTGTGGAGGTGGCATGGTGACACCATGGTGACACCACGGTGACACGGTGACACCACGGTGACACCACGGTGACACCACGGTGACACCACGGTGACACGGTGACACGGTGGCCAGGCACGGACGAGGACCCCAGCGGGAGCAACAGGACCTTCGTGAGCCACCAGCAGTGCAGGGACACCCTGAGGCTGCTCGAGGGACACGACTACCTGGTCTGGGGACAGGCCAGCGACCTCTGGGTCACCGGCAGACAGTAGGGACACTGGGGACACCGGGGACACCGGGGACATGGGGGGACATGGGGGGGACATGGGGGGGACATGGGTGGGGCCTGTAGGGACAGGGTGGGACACTGGCACGGGAGCAGAGGGGACAGGGGGACACGGGGATGGAGGACAGAGGTGGGGGGACATGGGGGGGACAGGGACAGGGAGGGACACAGCCCCCATTGTCCCCATTGTCCCCATTGTCCCCATTGTCCCCGTGTCCCCACGGCTGTCCCCGTGTCCCCAGCTTCTCGTACCTGATCGGGAAGGACACCTGGCTGGAGGAGTGGCCGTCGGAGGCCTCGTGCCAGGACCCGGCGCTGCAGGGACAGTGCCAGGACTTCACCGAGTTCGCCGAGGCCATGGTGCTCTTCGGCTGTCCCAGCTGAGTCCCCAGCGCCACTGGGTGTCACCAACCCCGGGGTGTCACCCGCCCTGGTGTCACCTGTCCTGGTGTCACCTGTCCTGGTGTCACCCACCCTGGTGTCACCCACCCTGGTGTCACCAATCCTCGGGTGTCACCTGTCCTGGTGTCACCCGCCCCGGTGTCACCGACCCTCGGGTGTCACCGCTCTCTGTCACCTTTTTTATCCTCCCTCTTCACCCCCCTTTTTTTTTTTTTTTGTAAAAAAATCATTTCTGAGCAGCTGGCTTGAGGTGTCCTCGATGGGGGGGACACGTGGGGGGAGGTGGGGACACCAGAGGGGACACGGGGACATCACAGGGGACACGGGGACACCAGAGGGGACACGGGGACACCAGAGGGGACACCTGGGGGGAGTTGGGGACACCAGAGGGGACACAGGGACATCACAGGGGACACGGGTGGGGACACCAGAGGGGTCACGTGACCCCAGGCCCTGCACCCCACATATCCCAGCCC